GCGCCGGTGACCCGTGGGCGGCGCATGGCCCGACGCCCGACCCGGGCCGTTGGGTCGGGTGGGCGGCGGGCCGCGGATGAGACGCGATGCGCCCCAGAGGTGGGTGCACTGTTGCAAACGGACTGGCGAGCTGGCGCCTTCAACGGAGCACACCCAGGGTAACACCCCACGGCTGCACCATTATACAAAAATACTTGGAGGAAAAACGTTCACGCACGCTCTGGAGGCGAGTGTAATGGCAAATACCAAATGCGCCGGTAAGTGAGATCCACAATCCGCATATGAGACACGACTGTCGGCGCCTCCTGTAATCCCAACGGTTTCCTACTAGTGCGCTGAGTTCGGTTGCCATCGGGCTACAGTGCAGTGGGCGCATCCCCCCCCCCCCTCTTGTTTATCCTTGGGTGGGTAGCAACCGGTCTGGCACACGCGGCTGCACGCGGCCCGGGCTGGAGGCCCGCAGCGGCGCCGGTCTCTGTCGCACCCGCAGCGCCCGCCGCGGCAGCCGCGGCACGGAGTGAGACGGAGAATGAAAAAAAGCTCAACCGTCAAACCAAAGTACACCCACGAGGCGGGTGTGGAGGTGTGTCGCAAAAAAGGTATAGTAAAATGTAGAGGTTCACGTCAAAACCGTGAATCACAATCACAGCTGTGTGGCACGGTTTGTTGTTTGAGAGCAGAGAGTTTGCCGGAATGAGGCGCGATACTCATTAGTTTCTTGTGGTCCAGGTTCAACAACTCTATTCAGGAAGACGGGGCCGCGCTGCCGGCGGCTTCCGTCTGACCGAAGCGGAGCCGAGCCCGGTGGAAACAAATCCGAACGAATCTGGCGACGCGTGCTCGGCGCCCACTGATGATTCCACCAAAACGTTTCCGTGTGTTCGCGGGCGGGACGTTCGAGTGGGACGCGGAAAGGGGGAAGTCACAATCTGGGAGAGTGTCGGCGTGCGAACCACACGGTCGTATCGAGTTTCAAGTTAAACACAAAGTGACATTATTGTCGCGTTAATATGAGGATGAGGTCGGGTGTTGTACAAGTACAGTGC